CGGAGGTGCGGGCCTCTTGGTGAGCTGCCGCTGTCAGACGAGAGTCTGAGAAGCCGAACGTGAAGGGATGAGTCAGAGGTGAAAGCTCGAGGTGCCGCGACCAGGAAAAGCTGCCCTGGTGAAGGCGGAGAGGCGTGGGTACGGCCCATCCGCCCCCACCCGCTGGGTCTTGTCGCCTTGCCTCTTCTTCTCCTTGTCTGTTGTAGGATTTTCTTCTGACACCTTTGTTTGCAACCTCATGCGACCATCCTCGTGTTTTCCTACTGCTTTTTCTGCCCTGGGGCATTTGCCTCATGGGATCTGTGCTTTGTGTTCTTCGCCCTGCTCACACCCCCGGCACAACCCCTGGGTTATCCGACATAAACCTCAGGTACTCGGAGCATTCGTGCCAGCGTTGTAGAGCTGGGCGCTGGGGAAAATGTGCAAACTGCTTGATGGTACAAGGAAAGGGTATTGCCCTTCTGCACGTCAGTGTTGGTGACCTCTTAGGAGGCTCTTACTGCACAGGTCAGGCTGTGGATTTTGGTCACTTGTCCTGTAAATGTGCTCTGATGAGCTTTCTTTTCCTCCTAGCCTGTGAGCACTAGTATGTATGCAGGCTACAAACTTTCTGAGCCTTGCTTTCTGAGGCAAGTTGAGAACGTAAGGAAAGGTACCTTTGCAGGATGTTTTAGCAAGAGAATCTTTGCTGTGTATTTGTATAAGTTGGGTGTGTGATATATGTATTTGTGATGCAAGTGCTCATAAAAGCATCACATTTGAGTAGGGAACAGAGATTTACAGGTGCATCAGCAGAAGAAATGGAGGAAAAAAAACCCTGTGGTTTTAAAAGTCTTATTATAAATAACAGGTATTAAGTGATTTTTAGTATTTTTTTTTTTACTGTTGGAAGAGGAAGCTGGTGTCCTTGGCTTTAGGTGATGATAATGTCAGTTTATTCAAGTACAGGGAGACCTAATACATACTGCGCATCAGATCCTGAGCAGACCAGTCCTTGTGTCTTTTTTCCTAATGGTAAACTGCCACAGATGTTGCTTTTGTTTTTAAAGTATTTCGAGATGTGATGATGGAAGGTCATTAAGTAAATCTTTCAGTAAATCTTTCAGTTGAGGGGAAGGATGGCAACAGGTTGGTAAAACTTGTACTTTGTATGAGGTGGTTCAATGACTGGGCTTAGAACTTATGCTTTATGAATTACTGATAACAGTACAATAATTAATGGTGATCTTAAAGTGATGTGCTCTTTTCCTACAGGTATAAGCTTTAAAAGAAACCCTTAAGGGTTTTTGATCTCTGTGTGCCTTAAGGCAACTGAAGTGACAGTTGTGGTGTTCTGTTTTGTTTTCTAGAGCTATAAGAATGTGTACATAATGGCTGATAGTTCCAGCGTGTGTTGTCTCTTTGTATTTGTGTTTGTTTTTCTGAACTGTCATTTCAGGAGAATGATCTCTGTAACTTCCACTTTGATTTGGATTTGATGTCTTGGGACTCAGACCTTTGGAATATTACAGGCCATGCTTATGCAGGTAATTAAATGACTATATTTTGCAGGTCTGATTATTCCCTTCCACCCCACAAGAGTGAGCTGGGTAACTCGGGGGGTGGTGGTAACTTATGTGAAACTATTTGATGCCCTGCAGCGTTTAGCTCCGTGAAGAGAAGTCACACTGTGTTTCTGTAGAATGGGTGCACACAAAGACTCCCCTACAAGCTAAGCTGTTGGGTACCTTTAATCACACTGTTTTCTGCTGTGCCTTGCTTCAGGAATGAAATAGGGCAGTGTGTTCTTTACTGATCTCCCCTTACTAAAAGCTTGCGCAGTAAAATTTCGTTATCTGCCCCTTGCAGATGCAAGCGTGAAGACAGAGCCCTTATCACCAGCCGCTTCAAATTGCTCGATCCCTTCTCCGTCGTCTGCGGACTCTCCGGTGCAGAATGTGCCTGTATGCAGAAACCTCCATGTAACACAGACAGCAGTAGTCATTCAGAACCAGCTGTGGCAAACAAAAAGCACAGTGATTTTTTTGTCTCACCAACTTCTTGCCATGAGAGAAAACAGCTTATTTGTCCAAACCTCGCAAAAACAACTTCCCTCTAGTGATATTTTCCTTCCTTTCACATGCCATGACCCATTCTAAAAAGAGTGTGTTCAGTTCTGTTTCCTTGCTTTTGTTTATTTGTCTGGTTGCCAAACAAAATGCCTCCTAAAGGCTTCTGAGTCCGGCAGTTCCTGGCCTCTGCCTCCTGTTGCCCTTCTGATGGGGAGGAGTACTTACTTTGTTTTCAGTGGTACTTAGCATTGACCAGAATAAAACTGCAGAACAAAACCTCCCTCCTCTTTGCTGCACCAGCAACACAGATATGAGGAAACTGCTGAGCTGCTTTTATGTGTTTCTGAAGCATTAAGCTCACATACTTTCTGTCTGCAGGATGATGTGGACTTCAGTTGTAGCTCCCAAATGTCTCCCATCTCGCTCTACGGCAAGAGGTGCAGAAGCCCTGCATCCCCTGAAGGAGGTGGAGGGAAGAAGCCTGCTGTCAGCATCACTGCTCGGTCTGGTATGAGAGATCCAGTTATTTTGATCCCCTGGACAGTATGCACATTGTCTTGCATACGAACGTTCATCTAACAAACAGTAGTACAATCTGTCATTCCTGACTTGAATTTGTGATCAGATAAGTCTGTTTTTCACAGCCCATGCCAAAAGCCGTGTTATGACTGCTCGAGTTCTTTGTTTTAGATCTTCTGGTCCAACTCTGATTCTTTTTCCCTTCCTAGCAAATAATTCTGCAAGGACACCGAAGAAGTGTGGTCAAACAGCATCTAGGCCTTTGTAACAAACCCAACCCGCTCTTGCCAGCCGTACCTGAGCCTCAGGCTAACATTGGCATCCCAGCTAAAACCATTATTATTCAGACTCTTCCCACGCTTGTGCCACTGCCAAAACATCAGCCGGTTGTTAACATCCAGCCGGCACCTCCTAAAGGTAGGTGAATTATCTCGACTGAGCCAGGTCCTGGGGGTAAGCACTATGTCAGTTTGAGGATGGTCACCAGAATGAAGTTGACCTTGACAGGTGCAACAGGAGGGGTAGGAGAAGAAACAGGGGTCCTGCATGCTTTGCTGCAAAAGCTGTAGGCTGTGAAGATGGCCTTACCCCTCTCGTACAGTCCTGTGAGAAACAGCATTCGCCAGGAATCAATTAAGATGGTTTGAATGAAGCTTGGGAGGAGCGATAAAAGGTTTTTTTTGTATGCACATGAAAGTGCCACAGGATGGTGGGAACATGAGTTTACGGATTTTTATCTCATTAAACTGCATTGGACAGGGTGTTGTGAAATTTGCTAAGTGAGACGTGTCAGAGGTTAGAAGACTTGCTTGCAGCTGCAAGCTGGTGTTAACAAGGCGTGAGTGATTTTCTGTCCACGGATAATTCTTTATTCCTCCTGTTGCCCCATAAAAGACTTTTAAAATAGCTTGAGCCTTCATTTCTGAATCCAAAGCATCGTTTTTACTCTTTAGCTAAGGCAGTTAGGGACATAACTTGCATTGCTGAACTTGTCAGATGCAGTTGCTGGTTTTCACCAGCTGATGGCTGCAGTCTCTTGTGGTTGTCTGTACAGGCACTGAGGCATGGAAGTAAGAGACAAAGTACTTCAGGGCAAGTACCTAGAAATTGTTGCAGCAGTGAAAAATTTGACTTCATTAGTAATTACTCTGCCATCAGGAGTTAGGCCAAAGCTGGAGATGCTGACATTTGTTACAAAATGCCTAAGATTGTTAGACTGTTTTAAAATACAGGTCAGCACAGTCAGCGTGACCTAATTCTTATTCCTTGTGTGCTGATAAAATACCATCTGGATTAAGGAATGTTGGGGATATGGATTTTTTGAATATAAGTATAGTACTGTGAAGATCAGCTTTTTGTTTTCCCCAAAGAAAAGTCGGGAGACTCTTTTCTGTGAGACACTAGAGGAAATACTTTTGGAAAAAGTATTTCCATGCCATATACTTACTTGAACTGATGATGTGTTTAAAAATTCTATTGTGCAGTTTCCATAACAAAAGCCGTAAGCATCTTTTTCATTAATCAAAATCTACTGCACATGACAGGTTGGAGCTACCAGCTTGAAATGTGCTGTCATCTTCACAGGAGCATGAAGAATGGTATTTTTACAGTCCCTTTCATAAAAGCTTAAAGAGGAAAGCATGATCTTGGAGCATCATGTACTTTATGCAAAAAAAAAAGAATTGTTGAAATAATCTCAAATTCACCACCTGGTGTTCTTAAATAGGGTAGTACTAATTTATGGTGTCTTGAAGATTATGTCTGCAAAAAAGGAAATATAATCCTACACCTCGTACATAAAAGACCTTGACATTAGGTAAATTATTTCATTTCTTACCTTCCAAAAGGTTGAGTAAATGCTGTAATACGTCATTGTGCATTTTGGTTGGAATGCTCAGCTGGAATGTGCTGTTTCTGAAACCTGGTGAGGTCATCCTGTTACAAAGGACTGGGAAGACGTTCATATGTTTTCAGACAGCAAAATGTTACTCAAGCACCTGCCTGAGTTAAATATGTACGTGTTGACTGAAATCTCTTGGAAGCGACTGTTTCAAATTCTGTCAAAACTACGTCATTTTTTCAGCTTGCTTTTCTTTAAGCTCTGTTCAGCTTATGTATAAAATTTCCTACATAGGACATTTTTTTTAAAAATTGGTCTTAGTGTGAATTGTGGCTTTACCTTATGTTTTGAAAGTTTAACTTGTGCTTTCTCATTCATCTTCCTTCTCTATGCGATTTCTGAATTTATTTTTATAGTATGAGTCAATTCTGGGTAGTAAGTTTTCTACTGAATACAGCAATAAAATTGGGATGGACAAAAGGGAGGAGGACTGAGTTAAGCTAAGTCACTTGAAAAAGTTGGTTGAAGTGCCCTAAGTATTAGCAATACTGAAAAGAGTAGTGTTTCTAACAAGTCTTGACTTTTATTAACTTTGAAGAGCTTTTGGGAGAGAACTTGATTTATTGGATCCCTTTGATATGTGTAATTTTGAATTGCAGGATGGATTATGAGCTCTGCAAACCTGAGCTTTTTATTTCTTCATTCCTATCCTGTGGAATATACAAATGCTGTAGAATTGAGCTTGAGACAGGTTATGGAGGGCAGGAGAAAAAGCAAGGCTTTCTGCCTCCACTATTAGTATTCTGCTACGAACGGGTCGTGTACAAATCCGTATGCTGAGGGCTTCTCTTTGTTCTCCCATTCTAGGTCAGTCAGTGGTGCTCCCCCAGCCCACTGTGGTACAACTCCAGGCTTCTGGGGTGATTCCTGCCTCCCAGCCAGTCATCGCTGTCGCTGGAGGGACCACACCACTTCACAACCCTGCGGGCAATGCCTTGCCTCCAGCTGCTGGAAATGGCTCAACGAGCAGCAAAATACCTGTGACTAAACCCTTGCTTCAAAGCACTGCACCGACACTGGGGCTGGATGTAAGTTCTGGCTGTGTGATAATGGGTAATAACCAAAGCTTTTGGTTACCTGCATGTAGGATGTAACCGGAAAACTGGATCGCTTTAGAGTCTCAGGAGAACAGAGCTGTAGCTGGACTCATCTCATAGGATTTCTAACACTAAACAGAGAATTCAGCAGCTTTACAAAAAATAGAGAGTAAGAGCTTGGTATCTGCTGGCCTGCCTGGAGTTGCAGACTGGATATGCAAGATTCTGGCAGAAGACAGTGCTGATACTTCCCCCGCACACCCCCGTCCTTTTCTTATGTTCTCAACTGCAGGCTCTCCATGGCTGGAGCTCTCTTACCTACAGGAAAATTTGATATATCTGATTTTTTATTAGTGCTAAACCATTTTTCCAATCTGTGTAACTAAACACTCCCAATGGAAGCAGGTGAATTGGAAGCGTCAGCAGTAGGCCTGATTCTTTTTCTATCCCCTTTATCTCCTCAGATTTTAGTAATGATTTTTAGAAACTTCAGGTACGGAGTTTCATATCATCCTAATCTCTTCAGGCTCCCTTCTTGATTATATAGCAAATGAGTAAAAACGAGGTAAGCTCTTGACAGTCACTGCACTACGCAAGTGAGTTTTTTCCACAGTAGCTCACAGTAAGGAGTAGGTGTAAACAGAAATCAGTGTGTGGGGTTTTTGTCCCTGTTTGGCTTTGACATCTTAGCTAGGTAGCAAAGTAGGTGTTAACTTGATTTAGTTCCTTATAGTTAGGAGCTGCTTTGGTTGTGCGTTGTTCAAAGGCAGGCACACTTGTGGCAAGTACCAAAGCTTCTGAAGCATGGTTGGAAAGTACCGAAGCTTCTTGTTTGTGACTTTTAAACTCACAGGATGGCATTCTCCAACATGGTTTTCCAAGTACTATTCGTGTGTCCATTCCCATGAAATTTTGCAGTATAGTCACCTGCTTATTAGCAGTGCAGGATGCTTTCTCAGGGGCTTGTGCCTTCTGGCTTCTTTGGGGAGGTGATGTTGTATGACTTCCTAGTGTCTGGGAATTGCCACTCATGCTTATTGTTACATTTTCCTCACTATTCGTGTTCGTGTGTGGGCTCCGTTGTTAGATGAAAAACTGCTTGCTGCAAATAATTCAGCAGCCAGACTGCAATGGAAACCATACCTTGCATTTGCACGAAGCTAACAAAGGTCTGTCAGTAGATAGAGCAGTTTAAAAATGCTGGATTTTTAAGTAAGAATTGCCTGCCATGCAAAGCCAAACTGAAGAGACCTGTCAGCAGTTGTTAGGTTTGTGACACGCTGTAAGCAGGACTAGCGTGGCACCTTGCCATTGCCTGAACACAAGGTTTAACTGGCAAAACCCCCTTACTGTCATCACACCTCACATGTATGTGTGTGACGATGGGTGGTCAAATGAGTAGCTGATGAGTAGCTGTTTGTTTTGCATGGTGGTTGTGTGGGTATTTCCACCTGAAGGTGCTTCATGGAGGCGTTTTTAAGTCTTGATATTAGCCTAAATGCTGCACATCTTTCGTGTTTCGGTAAACACGGGTAAAGAACAATTGTGACTGCTCTTTGGCACATGTTGTGAGTTGGCACTTTTAAAAAGGAACAAATGTTGCAGGATACAGCTGACGCCAGCAGGGTTAAAACATCTTGCAGCTGCCCTAGACACCATATGTGGGCTCAGAGCTGCGCAGATGTAGCCATCATTTGAGCTCCCTAACACGTGTTTTTGTTTGCTAATCTAAGCAGATGTTGCAGGATAAAAAGAAACATTGCAGGACTTTCTTTTGGGCTTAGAGGGGATAAACTGTTGGCTTAACACTCAGCCCTTCCAATGGGTTAGACCGAGATCAGCTGGTAGCGAACTCGACCCGTGGCACGCGTTTACACCGCTTACCAGCTGTGGGGAGGTGCCAGGCGTTCTGCCTTCGCTGGGAAGCTGCTGAAGAACTTTCCACTAGGGAATTGCACGAAAGAAATGCTGCATGAGCAAACCACCCTTCTGGTTGGATTAAAGAGGCTCTTAACTAAAGAAGCAGATTGTCTTTCCTGGTACAGTTCAATGGTATGAGGCCACAAATGGTAGGTGAGTGAGGGAATCCAGTTTAGTTGTGTCCTTATAGGGCTTTTCTCTCATGTTTCCACTCTGTAGCATGGCAGGATTTAATTCTGTCTCCCCGTTCTGTTGGTTAAAAAAAATAAATTGAAAATTTAGAAAAACTAGATTATGCAAATTACTTCAGTAGAGGTGTGGATTTCTATTAAAGAATCCTGTTTTCTGTGCTGTACATTGAGAAATTTTCATATGCAATAAACTCATTAGTCATGTTGGTTCTGTTGAGTTAGAGACAAAAAAAGGCCCAGGTCTTTCGTAAGAACAGAGAAGAAACACTTGCGTAGATTTTGTATTCCCTCGTTTAAGATGCGTCTTTGAAGAGAGCAGCTTTTATAAACTGAGGTAAGAAGCCAGTCAACGTAAAGTTGAAATAGTTTGTATTTTCAGCTTTTTGTTAACTTGCCCAGCGTGCATACTGAACAGTGAGAGACGTTCTTACTGCCTTGTGCTAGAAATACAGCTTTCGTTGGAGTGAAGGTTAAGTTTTGCTCAGAACTGAGTTTTCTTTGGAAGATGAAATTGAGGTAGCAGTGTTTATTTGTAAAGTTCATGAGTCTTTGTCAAGGCTGTGAAGGTAGAGGACAGCCAGAACCTAGTTAGTACTGTTTGCAGGAAGGTTTTGCAGTGAACCTTTCACTTCTTCGTATTTTCAACATCTTGTGTGTGTGTGTGCTTTAGTGAGGGTGTAGTTCTTAAAGCTAGGAAGCCAAATCTGCATCACTGATTAATGTTTGATTTAATGCCAGTTTTTTCCCTTTATGATGTGTGTTTAGTGAAGTTAGTGTCTTGAGTGATAAATGAATACAATACAACCTACAAAGAGGGAGGCCACAAAAGAAGTTAGCAGAGGTGTTCGCTACATTTAATCTTTATGCAGCACTTGTGCAAAGCAGCGTTCCTCAAGCAGCCTGACACTCTAAATTAGTTCCTCTCTCTCTTCTGATTATCAAAATGCTCAAGTAAGGGGCACGTTTGTCTTGGTGCAAAGCCAGCCTGTGCCATGCTTAGTGCCGTACTGCCTCTGGTTTCAAGCACTGTTGCACTGTTTCACATGCATTGGATTTAGGCAGTATCAGGTGTGCAGCTGTGGCTTATTCCTCAGGAAAAGCCAGGCAAGCACTAGAGTATTGGCCAAGGGATATGGATTTAGGGATTGTCAACTGTAACAAAATAACTCAAGGACACAAATAGTTGAGTTTCATTTAAGCAAGCTTAAGAAACGAGTGGCAGTGACACTGGTGTGGCATAGACTGAAAGGTAGTTATTGCAGTCCCTTGAGTCAGACTGGCAGAGCTGCTGTTCCTGACAGCGTTTGAAGAACACGGGCTACGGGAGGACAGTTGTGATAAATACCATCTGAAACGTAGCTGGTATTGTCTGAAACAGCCATAGATGTACCGGAGGATGTACTGTTGGTACACAAATCCAGCACTGGTGCTTTAACTCCATGTCTTCTCCAGGGAAGCAGATAGAGTTGCCAGAGGTTCCAGACACTTAGGCAAAGGCTATCCGGTGGTGAATGATGCTGAGCAGGCCTGTGCACAAAAATGAATGAAACAATTTGGTCTTCTCTGTTTGACTTCATGATGCAAAACCTTTTTTTAAAAAGAGGAATGTAACTACTTGTTTGGAATATAGCACAACTCAAGCCAAAATTGCTGCATGAACTCATTCCTTATTATTTCATCTCTGGACAGTTGAAGTGCTCTTGGCCCCAGATTGGTGTGTTCTATACACTTTAGTCCTTGGCTAGCCTGAATCTTTTTTTTCCAAAGTTTTTATATGTCTGCATAATTTTTCTTATGTTAAGTATTGCAGTGCTTAAAAAATTCAAGACAAAGCTTAGTATTAATGAAAATATGTTAAAATCTTTTCCTTCCCCACTCTCTGCTAAAGAGGGAAACTGGAGTAAGTACAGACAGCTTCACTTTTGCAGACTTTTGTTGGTGGCAGCAGGCTAGACATAAAATAAATGATCTTTACAGAAAGCAGTTAGATCAACATGGAGACAACCCAAAATGTTAATGCACTGTAACATGTTTTCCTAGTCTTTGTCACCAGACTGCAGTATCATGAAGAAGAATGACTTCTTCAAGTAACCTCTAGCCAATTTTTCTTGCAGATACTGAAGCCCTAGAGCAACATGTTGTCTGTGTGTGGGTATATAGAGGGAAATGTTCAGAAAACGACGATTCGGGTTCTTGAAGCAGCCAGGCCTTAACCAGAGCCCACTGAGTCGGTTCACAGTACTATTTTGTGACTTGTTTATTTTTTCCTAGACTGATAGAATAGTTTTCTTTTTTTCTTTTTTTTCCATTAGCTTTCATGCTCTAATAGATACAGATTACTCCTGTGCATGTGTTAGTAGCTACTGGAGGATTTTCAGGTCTGTGTAAGATACAGCATTCAGTTCTCTTACAGGGTAAACATCATTAAGGCACATCCTGTTGTAGCATAATAATATGATGGAAGTCTTCTGGTTTTAATAAAGAAAGAGTTGTTGTTGCTGTGAGGGAAAGGCAATCTACAGAGTAGTGTTTAAATTTGGGATTTCAAGTAGCTTTGCATAGCTCTGCAGTATCGATCATCGTTATCCTTGTCAGCAGCAAGATGCTTTCAGTCTAGGTCGTCCCACTCAGTGCAAACCACAAAATGAGTAAGTGGGAAAAGATGATAGACTGTTCCTGCTTGGGGTGATGGGAGGGGAAGTCAGAGTCATCAAGACTGTTGGAGCGTGGGGAGGGGTTACTTTGAACTGTCCCGGCCTGGCCTTGCAGACTGAATGCCTGCTAGTGGTTGGAGTGAATTATGTGCCCTCCTGGAGTATATTTGCTGATTTAACTTCATCCAGAAGGAATCTAGTTTCTGTGCTCTATCGGAGACGGTTCTGTGATGTGAACCAAAGCATATTAAGTGGGACCATCAGGAAATGTGCATCAAAGGCATGCTCCTGATCTGAATTAAAATGCTAGCACAGATGCATGCAGAGACTGCATTTAAACTGCCATGTAAGCGCTTCATACGTGTAGAATGAGCAATTTGAGGTCAGCAAGGGTATTCAGAATCTCAAAATCTATATGGCATAGCTGGAAAAGGGCACAGAAACAGATGTAATGTGGAAATGGCTTCCATACACGACAAACTAAAAAAGGTAGGGTTTTCCGATGACGAAAATGAATGTAGCCTATAAAATGATGTATGGTAAAGTGAAGGTGAAAGGTATTCTTGCTACCTTGCAGACCTGTTGCTATGTATTTTCTGTCTGTGATATGATGGATCCAATCAAGCTGCTGCTCGAATCTACGTTTTGTTTCCCCTACACACAAAAGGTTGCGAATGCAGGGAAAACAGACAGTGCAGGACCTGTTTTTTCAGTATCCGTGAGCTCTCTGTCTTGGAGCTGTACCGTGATTGCTAGTTGTCTCTGCAGTGGACATTTCAGCTCGTCTGAAGCAGAATGCAAGGAGCTATCTACGCAGGCTTTTGACAAAGTAGAGGAGCAGAAATTGTGCATGAAACAGAGGCACTCTTAACTTGCACGTTGCTAACAGTCCTTCTTATTGTCTGTCCAGGTCAGTGTCTTGAGAAGGCAGCAACGCATGATCAAAAACCGGGAGTCAGCCTTTCAGTCACGGAAGAAAAAGAAAGAATACATGTTGGGACTGGAGGCGAGGCTGGAGGCAGCCTTGCTGGAGAATGAGAAACTCAAGAAAGAGAACAGCACACTGAAGAGGCAGCTGGATGAAGTAGTATTAGAGGTGAGAGATTATAATGAAGCTCTGTCTTTATATAAAGGCAGTTGCTCAGGTGAAAGGCACTTGAGCCAAATCATGGAAATGTTGACTGGAAGACCTTTGGGGGTTTCTAGCTCAGCCTCCCGCTCTGAGCAGGACTTGACTAACTCTAGGTCAAGACAGCTGTTGCATTATCTAGTTGACTTTCAGTTCTTTCTTTCATGATGCTTCTGAAGATTTCACTGAGAAAATAGTCTAGATAGAAGCTGAATATAATCTGCAAAAAATAAGAGTTTGTTTTTAAATAGTCCTGCTGTGTATTCGTACGTAATTGGGCAAATACAAATCTAAAAAGCAAGCATAATTTGGTGCGTTTAGCTTCTGACATACCTTTGCATGTCTGTGCCCCTTTTTTATTGCATGTCTTCTGTTTCTTCCCATCTAGAACCAGAAGCTCAAAGTATCATCTCCAAAGAGGAGGACCCTGTGCGTGATGGTGATACTGGCTTTCATAATGTTGAATTATGGTCCACTGAGGTAAGGTGCCTTCAGATTCCTCTTTGCATAGCAAATCTGCTGTCCTGAGTTTTTTGTTTGAATCTTTAGTACAGGCAGTGTTGTGTTTTAAAGCTTTGAGCTTGAAACTTATCTTCTGTCCTTCCCTCTCCTCCTGCATAGGGGAAGGACTCATCTGTATAATGGTTCTTGTGGGAATCCTTCTGGTAACAAGAGCTAGATTTTGTACTTTGGATTTCTCTTGGCTTGGCATTTTGTTGATCAGTGCAGCGTAGAGCAGTTTGTCTGCTCCATTTATACCTGAAGAGATTAGAGCTGTGGTTAGAATACTTTCAGAAAGAACGGTTACAGGCTCTGAGAGCTCATCTGCTTTTTTATAGCTCTGCTAATCTCACCAGCTACAAATTTAAGCTGCTTCTAGTACCCAGAGGAGGAAATCCCACTGTTTGTTCCAGTGCTTTGCAATCCTGACCATTAGTTGCATCTAGCCACAGTCTTCCTCATTACAGTGTAAGCCCCGTATTACTTGTCTTCTAAATGGGATGAAGAGGTTGTTCCCTTTCCTTAATTGGCTGAAGTGGTAATTGAAAACCTCTCTTATTTGAACTGTATCAGTGGGGCATAGGAACCAGAGAGAAGAAAGGAAATGCTGCAGACACTTTATAAAGAAATTTGTGAAAGAGAGGGGCCTAAAAAGGGATATTTCTTACACATACCTGTTTCACCTGGCTTTGGAACATAAAGACCTTTTCTGTGAAGCTGTTCACTTTTGCAAAAGGAGAGGATATTCTGGTAGGTTCCCAGTCAGCAGCATCTCCGTTTGTCCTTAAAGCCCCAGTCAAACTAAAGGAATGGGATGGGATAAATCTGGAGAAAGAGTTTGTTTCAGATATGATAAACTGTAACAATGTTGGTGTAGGTATTTTTTAGAAATACCAGAAAATTTGCTGAAGGTGAAATTATATTTGAAGTATTTGCACTTATTGCAAATACTGTGTATCTCAGGCAGTGAAATACAGCTGATACTTTTACTTTGATCTGGATGATTTTAAGGTAGACCTTACTGCATTTAGGGTTTGTATTGGGATTTTTGACTATCAGGCAGAAAAATCACTTTCCAGAGACCGAGTGATTGATTTGGACATCCCATCTGCGTTTGCAAACATTGCCACTCACTCGAGAGACACTTGATGAGAACCAGTAATCTTTCGGAAGCTGGGAGAAATTTCAGTTGCCTCCACATTACAGCAAAGATTTGGAATGCAAGAAGCTCTTGTTAGTTAGTTTTGAGAGCCTTGGGAACATACAGAAGGTGGGTGGGAAGTCCTTTACCCCGTGTTCTGAGGTTCCTCTGTCAGCTTCTCTGCCTCCCAGGAGTGAGTAAGGTGTTGAGCTTCGTGGCAGGAAACTGCTGTCAAAGCAGACTGAAAGGTCGATTTCTGTTCATATCTTCGCAACACTCGGGAACTGTAGAAATGTGACAGAGTGAATTTCTTGACTTGTTTTATGGTTAATAAAGCAGCTAAAGCAAAAAAGAAATTCTTGGGTGTTTGGCCATTCCTGACCAGTGTGGTAGCTGAGCATGCTGGTGTAATTGCTGTGCCTGGACTAGGTGGTCTGTATCAGCACTGGATTTAGGCGGTGAAGAGAAATGTAGTTGCAAATTTACAAGGAATTACTCTTATCGTTCTGCTCTTTTTTTCTTTTTTTTCCCCCCACTAGCAGAATAAATGCTTGCACTGCAATTAAAATACTAGACTGTATCAAGGTGGTGTGAATGTTGATTGTGTAATATCTTTTGGAAGGCCCAGGCTGTGGAATATACAAACCATTTCTTAAGGTTTCAGTCCTCCCACATGCGTTTTCTTCCTTTTATAGCAGTGTCACTGAATGGTAGATCCACAAACATGACAGTCTTGATTACTGTTCTGCTTAGTCCTTAACGACAGAAGCTTCCAATACAAGTGATGTTTTTCAGTCTTTGCAACTTGTTACAGAAATAAGTAATTTTTTTTGTTTTGTTATAATATCCCAGATGCTAGCTTATAGTTCAGCAGAATTACTTTTTTCCCTCAGGATACGCTAACTGTGGAATACCTAACTTCTAATCAGTTGTCAACTGGGGATAAATACGATTTGCAACTTTGTGACAGTGTTGCCATAGAAGAAATCTTCTATGTAGGAAATCATTTCACTTGCACACCAGTATGGAGGTGTGACAACATTCAGACACAGGATATTTTGATTCAAAGAGATTAACAATGAATATTTTATTATTTAAAAACATTGCAGAGAGAGAGTGACATCCAAAAAAAAAGCAAAATCACAGGAAATTCACCCCCTAAATCCTGGAGCAGACTTTGAAATGCACTTGCTGGCTTTACTGTGAGATGCTTCTCGGATTCCTAGTTGGGATTCTTTCACAGAATCACAGAATCACAGAATG